CACACACACACACACACACACACACACACACACACACACACACACACTATTAATTAATTAATTAAGAGAGGACTGAGTGGCAGACTGAATGAAAAGGGGAAAGAAGGAAACCAGCTGAGTGGTTGACACAACTCTCTTGATCTCCTAAGATCTAAGTAGGCAGCGTCAGACTCCCATGGCACAGCGCTGCCCCTCCCCCCATAATGAACTGTAGTGCTAGGAACGATTACGTGCTGGATTGGCAGAAGCAATCAAGTGATCCTCCTGGAGGCAGCCCACTCACTGTTGCACGGCTGACGGAATGGGTGTATCTTGGGTTTGGGTAAGGCCCCAAGGGTTTTGCCTCAAGGAGGCTTATTTTTGCTATACTGTCTCTGGCATGGCCGAGACCCTCACTGCTTATTGCTTCACTTTGTTGGGCAGATTTCCTGCAGATTATCTTGAAGATATTTTTATTCAGGACATAGTGCCCTTTAAACGACTTAAAGATTTCATGACCCCTGATGATGATATTAAAGAATTTCTGACTCGATTCAAGTAATTTCAAGTAAAAATCCTCCCGCAGTGTAACAAAAACAGCTAGGAGCTCTGTGGACCTCCGTGTGGATTACACCAAGAAGGAAAACAAGATGGAAACAAATTAGGGATCAAGGAGATACATTCATTCTAGGTTTAGTCCAAGAATAAAGCCCAGGTGTACACCATGATAAGAAAGACCATATGAATATGGAAACAAAGAATAAATGGTTAGCTATACAAGACAAGTCAGACACCCGTTTCTTAGGAAAAAAAAATGACAAAACTTGCTTTGAACACATAATGTACATTTGAAATGAAAAGATAAGACTTCTGCTTTGAATTCATAATGATGTATATAGATAAAACCACTGCTTTAAACTTACAATAAACAAAGTACCTAGTTAGGTATTAGGATCAATAGTCCTACTGTAACTCCCCTTTTATGTAATGATTGTGTCTATTTTTGAATGATGTCATTTTTTTCCATATATAGAGAACCTTTGTATTAGATAGTATAAAAACCCAAGACAGAATTAAACAGTTGTTGAGGCTAACAAAAATGTGTCTGTCTGTTTATGTCTAATTGTCAGTATATATTGTCTATGTGTCTGTTTATGTTTATATTTGTATGTTTATGTATATGTGGATGAATGGTATCTTTGGGAGCTCTCTTGCTTTGTCTGTTGATTGTGTGCATGTGTGTGTGAGGTCATGTGTGTGTGCTTTGTCGGCCCAATGTGTGTATGTTTTTGCATGCTTCTAAGTTTAGGAAGTGATAAGCAGTCGGGAGGGTTTTGTCAGTCTTCATAATTAAGACTCTAGCATCCGGGAAGCCGCTGTTCACTGCTGAGCTGTTAAGTTAAAAGGAACCAACCTTTTACAACCCTTTTACAACCCCCTGTATTTATGCCAGGAAACTGTCAGGGCTGAGGCTGGCCGCTTGTACACCGCCTAAGTTAAAAGAACCACCTGGCTTAACTGATTAACACCCTCTGATGTTGAACAATAAAAGTTTTTAGCTGGAGAGCTGTTTTGGTGGCAGAGAAACCAGAAGGCCTGGAAAGCTCAATTGATAAAGCTTCAGACCTTGAATCTGAAAGCTCAGGGTTCAATTCCCTGTTACCTCTCTATTCCTGTCGTGACCAGTGGCCCCTGAGAGTTAAACTCTATATAGAGTTAAACTGTATATATAGAGAGAGCCCCAAATAGCAAGGCTACCAGCCTGGAAGATTAAGAGTTAAGGGATAGAGAGAACCACAAGCCACCAGCTGGTCATCGCCAACGCTGCTGCCCCTTGGTTTACTCTGTGTGCCAGAGCTAGTCTCTAGCACTGTATGGCCTCCAACCAGAAGCCAAAATAAATCCTTCCCGCATGGTGTTGCGTTTGCCAGTACTTGGTCACAGCGCTGAGAAGAGTAACTGCTACAGTTACTGCTGCGGGGGTGTAAACTTGGATGGTGCACTGGCTAGTTTTTGTCAACTTGACACAAACTAGATTCACCTGGGAAAGAGAGAATGTCAGCTGAGGAACTGTCTTCACCAAATTGGCCACGAGCATATTTATGGGAGATATAGGTATGTATATATATATACATTGATAAATGATTGATTCGGGAGGCCCAGCTGCTACGGATGGTGCCATCCTGGACAGGTGGGCTTGGGCAGGCAATGGAAGAAAGTGAGCTGAACAAGTCATGAGAAGAAGCCAGTAGGGAGCATTCCTCCATGGCCTCTGCTTCAGTTCCTGCCTCTAGGTTCTTGCCTTGAGTTTGTGCCTTCATTTCCCTCCACAATGGACCATAAGCTGTGAGATAAAATAAACGCTTTCCTCCCCAAGTCTCTTTTTGCCCATGGTGTTTATATCACAGCAACAGAAAAAAAAAATCAGGTCTCTTGAGAAAAAGACTGGAAGAATATTTTGGGTTGAGTCTAAAAGGTTCCCCACAGGCTCGTGTGTTTGAACACTTGGTCTCCAGCTGGTGGTGCTTTAGGGAGATTTTGTGGAGCTTCTGGGATTCAGCAGCCTGGTTAAAAGTAGTCACTCGGGATGGCCTTGAAACAGCTGCAGATTTCTGATCCTTGTCTGAGCTTTTTCTTCCCCATTCACCAAGACCTTAGGAAGCCTCTGAGATGCACTTCAGCCACCATGAAGCTGCTCCACCGTGCTCTCCCTCCATGATGGGCTAGTGGGTTCTGCTGGGTACTTTATTCCAATGATGAGACATAACTAAGACAAAGCGTGACTAGCAAGGTTGAAAATTATATTAAGGGAGTTACTGCCTTTACAACAGGAAACTTTTGATTGTTGGATATTTAATAGATAACAGACAACAATATCATGTTAGTTTTTTTCAACTTTGATGATTCTTTTTGACTTTTACATCACGAACCCCAATCTCACTCATTTCCCTATCCCTTTGTATCCACCCTTCATTCTTGTAACCTCCCCCCCAAAGAAAATAAAAAATTAAAATTAAAATTAAAAAATAAACAAACAAAACCCATCTCCTTGCAGAAGCTGTGGTGTGTCACGGTGTCCCACAGTCTACCCTTTGTCCACACATCTTTACTTGCAAATGTTCATTGCACTGAGTCATTGGACTGGTTCGAGGCCTCTGGGTTCTGCTACACCACCAATACTGGATCCTCACTGGGACTCCTCTCAGATATCCTGTTGTTGCCCTGTGTCATGGCCATCCCATGGCTTTGGATCTGCAGGACTGGTCCCTTTAGGCACTCTAACAGATGGGGTAGATGTTGGGGTGGGCCAACTCAGAGCCCTGGAGCTGGGCCTGGGTGATAGCTGAGTTGGTCAGTCTGCCAACTCTCCTGCATCTGTACCACCAGTGTGAGCTCTCCAGCGCTGCCCCAGCTCGCTCACACAATGCCATAGTCGGCAACAGGCAGGGCCAGCTTTCTTGCTCTCCTGAGTGCTGGCAAGGGGCAGGGCCAACTCTGCACAGCCCCTGGACATCAACCTGGTCCCAGATGGGAGTTCAGACCAGGGACATCCACATGGCCTTTGGTAGTAATATGAGCTACGGACATTGACACAGACCTCTGGGTATCTTCCCTAGTGTTAAATTTTACCTGTTTTACTTGTTTGTGTAAGATATCATCTTCTCATTAGGGGAGAGACAGGAATGATTTAAGGGAAGTTTCTGCAGTTTGCTCTCAACTAAGTGTGTGTGTGTGTGTGAGAGAGAGAGAGAAAGAGAGAGAGAGAGAGAGAGAATAGCAACATATTAATAATTAAGGATTTATGAATAAACATATTTCAAATTTTTCAAAATGAAATTTTGGGAGAAACGTGACTACTTGATGATCCAGTATTTCCAATTGTTCATTTGTTCTTTTTTCTTTCTTTGTTGCTGTTCTGGGCAAGGAGTGTTTGTCTGCTTCCTCTGTTACTCTAAGCTTATTTGTCACTCTCTTGGGCTATATTTTTTGGTGACATGCTTTTTTGTGTGCAGTGCCCAGGACTGAACTCCGAGCTCCCCAGGGGCCATGGCTTTGCCTTGTAAATTTTATTTCCAGCTGAAGACTCACACAGAAGCTTTTCCTCATTATGCAGAAGAGAAGTTTGGAATGATTGAAGCTGGCGCTCTTTTGCCACTGCTCTCGGGCTCAGACCTACTAGCATCTGGAGAGCTTCAGCAGCACCCACGTCTCTGCCATCCTGGGCCATCTCAACCTCTGCCTCTGTGTTTGTCTCCTGGCAGGGACAATACTGAGGTACCTCTGTCCTCAGATAGCCAAGACATTTAGCAGCCTCTCAGATAATTAAGAAAGTTCTAATGCAGGCCCCATGGGGGTTAGTCAGGGCCGCTGAAGGGATTAGTGAATTCTTGTGAAGTGGATAAGGCTGTGGCTGTGACCTGGATAACTTGCCACTCTTCCTCTCCCCTCCCCACTGGAATGTGCTGGGTAACTGCCCAGGACCCTGTGGCAGAAGGGCCAGTGCCGTGCCAGTCTCTGCTTTTGTTGGACTTTCTGCCACCATGAAGCCTGCTGGGGGCTGAGCAGGATGTTTGCAGGCCACCGTCCATTGTGGGCTCCCACAGACAGCATCCCGCTCGGAATCTGTCCCTTCTGTTTTGCAGCTTGTAGTCCTTCATGCACGGGCTCTGGGCCATAAAACGTGGGGATCCAGACTCTGTCTACTCAAGCTGCTCTTGAGGACAGGCCCTGGGAACAGGAGCTGAGACCAGGCCAAAGAGGTCAGTTATGGGGAAGAGCCCAAAACAGGGAGGGGCAAAGGGCTGGAGGGAGAAAATCTGGCAGGTAGGGTCTGGAGAACCCTAGAGGGGCTTGGGGAGAGGTGGATACACCCTAGGATCTCCTAGGGCTTTGGGATCCCTTATAAGCCTCTTGTCAGACCAGGGCTGGGGCAGATCCTGAGGGCAGGTTGTGTCTGAAGGAAGAGTACTCGTAGTCATTCCTAAGATGAACAAAGCCAGGACAGGGTTATAAACAGGGCGTGTTATGGCTCATGCTCACATCCATCCAAAGGCTTGTCCAGCTTTCTTATATGTATATGTTTATGTGTGTGTTTGTGAGTATGTATACACATGTCTACGGGCATACGTGGATATGTATGTGCATGCATGTGGAGGCCAGAGGTTTTTACCTCAGAGGCCTTACCTCACAGCTTCTCTGACTCATTATTTGAGGCGGGGGCTTCCACTGAACAGGTTACTGACTGAATACACTGGCAGCTTGTCTTCCCTGTGCTGGGATGGCAGGCACACACCCTGTGCCTGGGTTTTGGTTTGTTTTATTTGCATGAGTTCTGGAGAGTAAGCTTAGGTCTGTGTGCTGCATGCTTGTTTGGATAAGCCATCTTCCCAGTCCCTGGATTTTTTATTTACTTTATATCCTGGTCATAGCCCCCTCCTCTCCTCCCTCTCTCCCTCTTCCCCCCTCTCCTATTCCTCAGATAAGAAGAGCCTCCAGCCACCCACCCAGCCCAGCTCATTAAGTCCAATCAGGACTGAGCTCATCTTCTTCCCCTGTGGCCTGGTCAGGCAGCCCACCAATGGGTAGGTAGTGACCAGAAAGCAGGCAACAGAGTCTGTGTCCAAGACAGCCAGCCCCCTCTCCCCTTACTAGGCAACCCACAGGAAGCCTGAGCTGTCCATCTGCTACATCTGTGTAGAGGGCCTAGGTCCAGCCTATGCATGGTCCTTGGTTGGTGCTTCAGTGTCTGAAAGCCCCTCTGGGCCCTGGATAGCTGGCTCTGTAGGTCTTCTTGTGGAGCTCCTGGCACCACCAGGTTTTCTACCCTTCCTCCCACTTTTCCACAAGACTCTCTGCATTTTGCCCAGTGTTTGGTTGTGAGTCTCCGTGTCTGTTTTGATCTGCTTCTGGGTGGAGCCTCTCAAGAGGACAGCTATGCTAGGCTCCTGCTTTGTTCCCTCTCTTCAACCACTTCTGATGTCTATTCTACTTCTGCTTCTGAGTGAGATTTAAGCATCCTCCCTTGGGTCCTCCTTGTGACTTATCTTCTTTGGGTCTGAATTGTAGTATGTCTATCCTGTAGTATATGGCTAAAATCTGCTTATAAGTGAGTACATACCATGTGTGTCTTTCTGGGTCTAGATCATTCAGGATGATCTTTTCTAGTTCTATTCATTTGTCTGAAAATTTCATGATTTTCTTGTTTTTTAGTAGCTGAGTAGTATTCCATTGTGCAAATGTGCCACAATTTCTTTATCCATTGTTCAGTTGAGGGACATCTAGGTTGTTTTCAGTTTCTGGCTATTATGAATAAGGCTGCTATGAACATAGCTGAGCAAAAATCCTTGTATGGTAGAGCATCTTTTGGGTATATACCAGGAGTGGTATAGCTGGGTCTTGAGGTATGACTATTCCCAATTTTACAAGAAAGTGCCAGACTGATTTCCAAAGTGGTTGTAAAAGTTTGCATTCCCGCCAGAATGGAAGAGTGTTCCCCTTTCTCCACATCCTTACCAGCACGTGCTGTCACTTGAATTTTAATCTTAACCATTCTGATGGGTGTAAGATGGAATTTTATTGTCGTTTTGATTTGCATTTCCCTGATGACTAAGGACGTTGAACATTTCTTTAAGTGCTTCTCAGCTGTTTGACATTCCTCTGTTGAGAATTCTCTGTTTAGCTCTGTACCCCATTTTTTAAAAATTGGATTATTTTGTTTGTTAGTGTTTAATTTCTTGAGTTCTTTATATATTTTGGACATTAGCCCTTTGTCGGATGTAGGATAGGTTGCAATCTTTTCCCAACTTGTAGACTGGATTTTTTTTTTTTTTTAAATCCAAACCACAAGAAAACATTCCCCTTTGGGGAAAGGGTTCATTCACATCTACTTAACACTGACCCCCTTAACTCTTGTGTGCCAGCAGCTACCTAGAGCACAAACCAAGCAGTCCAGAGAAGGGTGCCATGCCACTGCTGGCCCAAAGGAGGCGCTCTTTCTCCTCTATCATCCTTCAGGCCTCTCCCTCTGTTCCCTGAGCACTCCTCTCTGCAAGGCGTTTGGCCTTGACCTTGACCTCACTGCTCAACTCAGAGCTCAAGGGCTGTGTGTCTGGGAGGAGCTGGTTCTGATCTGCCAGGACCTTACCGCTAAGGGAGAAAATGGCTACAAGCCTGGTTTAGCAGCTTGCCACAGGCCTTCCCTGTGGTGGTGATTTGAGTCAGGCAACCCTCCAGACCAGAAGTGGTTCAGGATGCCCCATCCGCCCAAGGGCAGGTTGTATTTATAGCCAGAGGAGAGGAAGTGGTGTGGAAAGTGAGGGGGAGACAGCCTGATCGCTGGAGTTCACTGTGTGGTGAGCACCTGGTCTGAACAGCAGGGAGCCTGTGATGGCCCAGGGGCTGGATAGCAAAAACGAAGCAAAACAAACAAAACGGAACAAACAAAAAACCCTAAACCTTCAGCCCAAATGTTCACAGACGCAATGTCTTCTGGCTTCTTGCACTGAGAATATCTTTTTGTTTTTCACTCTCATCTAGTCGCTGTGATAAATTACATAATAACGTATTTATTTATGTCCTTATTTATTCATTTTGTGGGAGTGTGGAGCCTTGTACAAGCTACAGTGTGTGTGTGTGTGTGTAGATCATAGGACAATGTGTGAGAGTCAGTTCTCTTCTTCCACCATGTGGGTCCTGGGGATTGAACTCAGGTCGTCAGATTTGGTGACAAGCACCTCGACACACTGAGCCACCCTGCCTGCTCTCGTGGTGACACTTTTATAGATAGGTATCACACACTCTGCACATATTCACCTCCCATCAGCTGTTCTTGTTTCTCTTCCCTCCTTAGGGTCCTTTATCTTGTCTCAAATAGTCTCCTTTTTTCTTCCATGTAATATAGCTAATTATTGCTAAATTCTGATTGACGGATGGATAAATAGATTCCATATACAAGAGAAAATGTCACATTTATCTTTGTGTCCCTGACATTTCAATTAACATGATTATGTCCAGTTCTGTCAATTTTCCTGCAGATGATGTAATGTCATTCTTTTTTTTTGTTTTATTTTTGTAGTTTGTTTTGGTTTTTCAAGACAGGGTTTCTCTGTGTAGCCTTAGCTGTCTCTTCACACTTGTTCTGTAGACCAGGCCGGCTTCGAACTCACAGAGGTCTGCCTGGCCTCTGCCTCTGCCTCCCCGAGCATGGAGATTAAAGGTGTGCGACACTGCCCAGTGTAGTAGCCTTCTTTGTGGCTGAGTAATTCTCCACTGTGCATGTCTGCCATTCTTCTATTGGTGGCCATCTAGCTGGGCTCCATAACTTGTTGTGTGGGCTACCATTCATTGCAGATCTGTGTTATTTATGTGTAAAGTCAAGCTTTAGTTTACTATTTGCAGAGATGTGTTTGAACCAACCTTTATGGAGGCGGCATTAGACAAAACATTTGATTTAACAATACAATAAAATCTACCCGATAGAAAAAAAAGGACATGCCTCACACTGGTCACAGAGATGTCAAAACAACACACCATCCTGGTCGCTAGGGATTCTGGTAGAGGGCACATCACAGCCTAGTCTAATGGGGCTCAAGGATTCTCCGAAGGCTCAGAGTTAGGGACTTTGAAGTTAAGGCTAAGAAGGGTTCATGTGGAAGGCGTTTGGCAAAGGGAGACCTGGCTTGCTCGTTTCTCCAGCTCACAGGCGGGCTCCTACCCCAGGGCCTTCGCACTTGTTCTCCCTGCCTGGAACATTCTTAAGATAGCCCCATGCCTGCTTCCTCACAGTGCTGTGTTTAAGCGCTCACTAAGTAATTATCGTATGTTGTGTCTAGAAAGATGAGGAGGAGCAGGAGGAGAGAAGATGGCTAAGAACCCAACGTGTGAAGAGGGGTTGAGGGAAGAGAGGCAAAAAGAAAGGATGAGAAGTAGAGAAAGAAAAAAAAATCAAAAACGGGGGCAGGACATGCTGTGTGCTGATATGGAGGTGGGAGAGCTTGAAGGGTGATCAGGTCCTCCTGGGTGGCCATCTGGGACTACTAGAAGAGCAGGGGCCCTTGGGAGGATTCAGTGTCATCCCACACTGTGGGATTCTGAAGGGCTCTTCTCCCCTGCTCTTCCCAAGGACGTTTATACACATGATTCGGGGCTGCTGAGTCTGGATGGAGCTTGGCTGAAGCTACTTCTGGGGGCGGGGGGAGGGTCTTTCAAGAACTGCTCGCTGCCCCAAACAAACAAACCAGATGAAGCTATATGGTACGGACTGGAGCTGTGAGTACTTTGGGCATAGGCTTGGGGATCTGGGACCCTAGGTGGCATCTGGGATTGCAGCAGTAAGAGGAAGAGCTCACTCTCAAGGCTTTCCCTCCTCTGCATGGGGACAACAAGTGGGCTTTGTCCATTTGGTAGAATAAAACAACAATCCGGTAGCAGCGGCACACTCCTTTAATTCCAGCACTCGGGAGGTGGAAGCAGGCAGATCTCTGTGAGCCTGAGGCCAGCTTGGGCTTCACAGTGAGTTCCGGAGCAGCTGAGGCTACGTAGCAAATGCTATAGGTAGGGCTCATTCCCGGGATATTTCTTTTAGATGTTTCCACTAATAGGCTTCTCAGAGATAAAGCACATTTTGACGGTGAAATCAGCCACTCTGGCCAAGGTGTGGGTGAAAGTTACTGGGTTTGGGGTCAGAACCTAGACCCTGACAGCCCTCACCTGCAATAGGCCAGCTTCGCCATCCCTCCTTACTGGCCCAGTTACTGACAGC